GTCTGGGGGTGGGGCGCTGGGCACCCGCGGAGGGCTGTGGCAGCCTGAGCCGCAGCAGCCCCCTCCGGCGGTCTGCACCCTCACAAAGCCCAGAAATGCGCAGTTCCTTCCAGCTAGGAGGTCGCTGCCTCCCGGGAAAAGTTTCCCCGCAGCCTCCCAGGTCCAACTTCTCCTGACTCTCAGGTGATGGGATCCTCTGCGGTCCCTGCCTGTTGCGCTGTGCACTGCGCTCTCCTTGGGATCGCCCGCCCCGCACCCCCTGGATCTCACCGTGCCCCAGGGATGTTTCCCAGCAAGCTGACTTGGGGGTCGCAGGTGTGGTCAGGCTCACATTCTCCTGGAAGGAGGGGACCCCTGGCTGGAAGGGATTGAAAGCAGTACACCCTGGGTGGAGACCAAGACCGGGTTGGAACCCCGGGCCACAGCACTACCCTGCTCCTGCTGGCCTTAGGGTCACTAAAGGGAAGGGCCTGCCCGCTGCTGTCTGCTTAAAAGTGTGTCCCCTCCTCTCTGTGCCCTGCCTGCCTCTGTGCCTCTGCCTCCTCTGGTTTCTGCCTGTCCCTGTCTTTTCTCCCCCATCCATCTCTTCCCTGTGTCCCCCATTCCCCTCCACCCCCCTGGCTTTCTGGTCTCTGACCCAAGGGCCCAGGCCCACTCTTCTGTTCATTACTGTGTCTCTAGTTTCCTGGTGTCTCTCCTCTTTGTCCTTGGTTCCTGACCAAATAGGAGGCCCAGCACCCTGTGAGGGCTCCTTTGCAGACAGCCCACAGTTCCCGTATTAATCACCAAGGAGGGACAGTGTGGCCACACTGATGGTATCTTCCTTCCCAAAGAAAGTTGGGGCTGTCACCAAGCTGTGGCGTCAGGCTGCGGTGGAGAAGCAGCTGCTAGGCCACCGGCTGTGTGCCACCTGGCGAGGGTGGGTGCTGGGGTCGGGGGCACTTGCCTTACTCACCTGATGGTGAAGCTGTCCCAAAAGCCCTTTGTGTGCTGCAGAAGCCTGGCAGAAGGGGCTCCTGGGAGGGGCCCACAGGCTAGTAGGAAAAAGGAGGTGGCTTTACCTAAGAATCTTCAAAGACCCAGCCTTTTAACAGTCATCCAGACCACCCACCCCCCAGAACACAGGAGAAGCAGTGGGTTCCACAGCCCTCTCCCAGATCCTCTGAGGCTCTTACTTCCTGATGGCCCGGGAGCCTCAGTTGTGTCACCAGTCCTGCCTCAGTTGGCGCGGAACTCCTGGTGAAAACTGGATTGGGGTCCAGTCCGTGTGGTGCATGCAGTGGGGGGCAGTAGTGTCTCAGGTAATCCCCCAGCGAGTACTGTGTTGAGGGTGGGCTAGGAGGAGTGATGTGGGGGCTGCCCTGGCTCTGGCTAGGGCAGAACATGGCGAGCCTGGGTCCCCCAAGTGAGTAGACACGGCCAGTTGGAGGGGCACAAGGACATTCAAGTGTGCAGTGGAAAATGGCAGGGCTGGACGGTCGGTGGGGACAGGAGAGAGGAGCTTTCGCCCCCTGCGCCTTCAGGGTTGGGGCTGCCTGTGCCCTTTACTGACCCTACCTGGCCTTCTGCCTGCAAACGCTTCCAGAAGTTCTCTGGGAAGGCGGAGTATAATCTGGGCTCCTGGCCTTCCGTGGGGAAGAAGAGTCGGGAGTGAGGCTCAGCTACAGCCCCTCTGGGGTCACCCCTCACCCTGAGGGCTCCAGGCCCTCCCCAGTCAGCAGGAAGCCAGTAGCCTGAGGAGAGGGCTGGGTAGTGCCTTCAGTGTCGCCATAGCCAGGGTTCAGACCCAGCGGGAAGGACACAACCAAGAAGCCGGGTGGAGCAGGGGCTGTGGGGACAGCAGGGGCAGTGTCAGTGTGCTGCCCACCCAGGACGGCAGCAGAGGGGGCTCATGAGGGGGCGAGGGCGGGTGGGAGTGGTGCTGCATGTGAGTGGAGGGCTGGAGTCGCCTCTCACCTGGGGGCGGGAGAGTCCCCAGCCCCCACAGCATACAGCACAGAGCCTGGCGCAGCATGGCCCAGCAAAGGGTAAATCCATGTGTCCTCTGCAGGCCAGGCTGGGACCCACAGCAGCTCTCCAGGACCCCGGCAGTGACAGGGCAGGGACAGGCTTCCTGGACCCCCACGGCCAGTTGTGCTGGTCAGGCTGCTACCTCAGTTTCCCCTCCCAGCAGCCCTTGCAGGGCTCAAGTCACACACTGCTTTTATCCTTCTCTGGAGACCGTCCCCAACCCCCCCCACCAAGCTGCTGGGATCCTTGGCTGCTTCCAGAGCCCCGCAGAGAACCGGGACCCTGGGGTTCCATCCCCAGTCCCCAGCCTCCGAGGACCGAAGGGCATCAATCCTCCTGGCCCCCACGGATAATTAGGACAATTACAGCGACAATCATGGTGATGAATAAATAATAAACAAGCAGAACAGTTCTGACGCCTGTCACGTCACTGGGAGATTCCCGATGACAGATGACAGGCTTCTAATGGGTTTGGCTATTACTGAGCACACTGTTCTAATGAGTTAAGGCTAAATGAGTCTGGTAATAAAAATAATTGTTATTAGTAGTAATTTATTAGCAGAGATAATGAAAGCATGTGTACTAATAAATACCACCAGGAGTAGGGCCCAGGGAACCATACAGAAGTTGGCTGCCTGCTTTCAGCTCTTTCCCAGTAGCACAGGCCCCTCAAGATTTACATTTCTTTCCTTTGCCATCAGAACTGCTGTGGTGAATGGCAGTGAGATGGGTCTTCGCATCCGTTTCTCTAGGCACAGGAAACAGCCTCCTGACGGACAGCACCTCCTCCTCCTCTTACCCCCCCAACCCTCAGCCAGACTCGAGTTTGCCCAGCTGAGCCTGGAGGGTAGCTCTTTCCCAGGCCTGGAGAGGCGGAGCAGGGACAGAGGGCCAAGTGCAGTGCGGGCAGGGCCTCTCCCGCAGGCAGAGTCACTGCTGAGTCAGCCTCCAGGCCCTGACCTCTGCCATCTCCTGCAGGGAGGAAGGGAGGCCCCTTCCCCGACTTTACCAGCCTGGGAGCAAAGGGCCGGGCTTGGAGGGGCACTGCCTTCCAGGAGCGGGCAGGAGACGGAGGGCCGTGGGGATGCCTCCCTGCCAGGGGCCCAGTCCTATTAGCCTTCTCTTCCTACCTGCCCTAGCACCCGTCTTCCGGCTCCGGCTGCCATCACCTGGTGTTAGAGAGGTGTTCAGTGTCGGAGGTGTTCAGTCACCACTGCACACCTCACAGCGGCTGTGATTACAGCCAGGGCCCCCTCCAAGGGACAGCAGGCTTTGAGCCTAAATGCTGCTCCCCACCTGGGTCCTGTGTGTCTCTCCCTTCAAGGACCCTGTGGTGCCTGGTTAAGTCACTCCTAGTAGCCTGGTGTTGGGCTGGCCACCTGGCCTATGGGCCAAGGTGCATCCGCCATCTGTCCCCAGGTAGAACAGGGACACACCAAGGGGGGAGGCATCACACCATTCAGGCAGGAGGAGGAGCACAAAGGGGAGAGGGCAGCCTCCATCCCAGCTCCGGAGCAATGCTTAGGGCTTCTCCGGGACAGTGAGACCTCAGCTCCCCTGTGTCCTGCCTCCGGGGAGACGGGTGGGAGGCCTCACACCACACCCCCACAGGTGCGGGCCAGTGCCATCGCCCAGGACGCTGACCAGAACTACGATTATGCCAGCAACAGCGTGATCCTGCACCTGGACGCGGGCGACGAGGTCTTCATCAAGCTGGACGGCGGCAAAGCCCATGGTGGCAACAGCAACAAGTATAGCACCTTCTCCGGCTTCATTATCTACTCTGACTGAGCCGGCGTCCTGCCCCAACCTCTGGGGCAGGCTGATGGCAGAGGCCACTGCCTCCTGCCCACCCGCCCACTGGCAGCCTCAGCCTGGGGGTGGTGAGCTCCCTGCATCCAAGAAGCTACCCACCCCCAGCACCCCAAGCCCTGGCCCAGCTGCACCCCCTCTGACCAAAGCGATAATAAAAACCTTTCCACCCCGCCATCCGCCTGTGCCCTGGGGAGGGAAGCGGGGACACTGGCCCTGCCCTGCTCTCTGTGTAAGGGGCAGTGCAGTGGGAAGCAGCCACCCCACTTGCCTTTTGGGTGGAAAATTCCAATGCGCACTGCTGTGGCAGGCACAGCCGTGTAAACGGGGACCCCTCACTTCTCATCCCTGTGACACTGACGCCAGGGAATCACCCCTCTGGGCCCTGCTGTGGGTCAGTGCTGGGTGAAGAACAGAACAGGATTTTCACTGAGGGTTGCTTGACCTTGGTCCACGCACTGCACCCCGGGCCTGTTTTCTCGTCAGCGAGCTGCATACTGAGGAGATTGAAAAGGGAGAATGGACCTCAGTAAACAGCTCCATTTTCACACCACTCCAGCGCTTGCTGTAGTTGGATGGGCAGATTAAAGAGCTTGCTTCATGGGCGGAGTTGCTGAGTCCGTGGTTGTACTTGAGTCCATGACATGCAGTCTCCTTGCCCCTGGTGTCTCCCCTGTCGCTCAGTGAGGGTTTCCCGGGTGACGGGTGTAGTCAAGCTGGATGCCGGGGAAGCACTCTGCAGGCATTTTCTCATGGGTGCCTGGCGGAGGGAAGCAGATTCGTGGGAAATACTCTCGTTCCCTGTAATGTGGATGCAGTTGTCTTGTCCATTTTTTTTTTTTTTTTTTTTTTTCTTTTT